TACTCGGTTATGTGAACTGACTTCCTATCTGCTCCTGTCCCAGGTCCCTGAGACAAGTTACTGAGATGGACAGTGATGGTGTGGGTGACAGAGAGTTAGCAGAACCCATAGCAAAGGTCCCCTTGCTAAGACAAGTAGATGCAGAGATTGGAGTGGATGTCACTCAGATGGACTGTGGCCCTTTCTGAGTTCATAAAATCCAACACTTGTGCAACTTTGTGGAAGATGGCCAAACCAATCACAGCGTGGGTAGGCCACACGTGAACAGAGTTGCTACCACATAACATAGGCAGAGAGGAAGATGAGGTCCAGGGTGAACAAAGGCTAGAGTGATCTAGGAGGATCTTTGAAGGCTCTGGACAGGTAGCAGAGCCTTACCTTCTGGCTGAGTCTTCATGGTTCTATGCAATGCTGGCACCAGGTAATACCTTCTTACATCACGTCCTAAGGTGAGCATGAGGTAGGTGAGGACACTGTATTATTCAGAGTTCGCCAAAGACACAGAACCAGGAGGACACGTATGGTGCATGCAGGCACTTATGTAGGTTTTGGCTCATGTGATTAGGGAGGCCAAGAGCTCTCATGATGCTGTCTGCAGGCTGCAGTGCCCGGAAAGTCAGTGGTGATGTTCCCTCTGAATCTGAAGGCATAAGAATCAGGGGTGAGCAGGGCAATTCTGTGATAAGTCGTGGAGACTGAAGGTCTATGATCCAGGATCTCTGGTTTCCAAGGGCAAGAGAAGATAAATGTTCTAATTCCAGAAGATGGAGAGGAAGAATTTGTTCTTTCTCTGCCTTTTTTGTTCTATCTGGGCCTTCAACTAATTGGATTAGGCTTGGTTACATTGATGAGGGCTGCTATCAATGGATCTTGAGTGTCCCCAAATGCCTGAAAATGTTAAAGGCATGGTCCCCAGCTCGGAGCTGTTGGGAGGTGGTGGAACCTTTAAGAGGTGGGGCCTAGTGGGAAGTCATTAAGTCAATGGGGTCATGCCATCAAAGAGGATTATGGGACCTGTCTCTTCTCTCCCCTTTTCACTCCCTGGCTTTGAGGTGAGTGGTTCTGCTCTACCACACGTTCCTGCCACCATGTAGTGCTTTGCCCAAAACAACGGCGCTAAAAGATCAGGAACTCCAACCTCTGCAACTGTGAGCCAAATAACCCTTTTTAAAATAAGTTGATAACCTTATATCTTTTTATAGTAATGGAAAACTGACTAACACCAGGAGCCAGTTGCTCATGCCTGTAATTCTAGCTATTTGGGAGGCTGAAATCAGGAGAATCATAGTTCAAGGTCAGCCTGGGCAAAATGTCTAAGCGCCACCATCTCATCCTATAAAAGGTGGATGTGGTGGCACATGCCAGTTATCCAGATACACAGGAAGACTAAGTAGGAAAATCATCATCCAGACCCCCCGAGCATAAGTGTGAGCCCTACTCAAAAAACATCTGAAAGCAAAATGGCAAGGGGTGGAGCTCAAGTGGTAGAGTGCCTGCCCAGCAAGCTCAAGGCCCTGAGTTTAAACCTCACCACTGCAGGAAAAAAAAAAAAAAGTTCTCAAAGAATGGAAAAAGAAAGAAAATTTCTTAGTATCATGTTAAATTAGAAAAACCATATATTCAATATATACTTCATCTCTTTCTTTCTATATATACATACACATGTATCTAAAGATGGTTGATCAATGGGTACCAAGTTACAATTACACAGGAGCAAGTGTACAGTAGGGTTACACAGGTGACAATAACATGCTGAACATTTCAAAAGCTTAGAAGAAAGGATTTTGAAAGTTTTCACAGTAAAGAAATGATCAGTGTTTGGGAAATGGGTAGGTTTAACCTGATTTAAACATTACCCAGTGATACCTGTATCAAAACATTACAGGGTAGCCCTTTAATACATATAAGTTTTATGTTTTTACATATCAGTTAAAAATAAAATCTTTTAAAAAGGGAATGGTGGAGTGGCTCAAGGGTAGAGAGCCTGCCTAGCAAGCATTGAGGCCTTGAGTTCAAACCCCAGTACCACAAAAAAAAAAGGAAAAATTTAAAAAGGAAGAGAGTCTTTCTTTAGGGTATTGAAATAGGAGCTATTTCTCAGGTTTTCTAAACCAGACATACATTGTCTTTGTAATCAGTATAAAACTATCATTTAAGAGAAAAATCTAGACATTATCATCTAAGTGTAGAAAGTATCACCAAGGAAATGACAGTGCAAGGCCTGGAGGCCGTGTGTTACTATGGTACCTGGGAGGACAAACATTGCTGGCTAAGTCTGAGCGTCACTTCCTGTCTGCACCAAGGGCCACTGAGAGGCAGGGGGGCAGTGTAAGAGACGCCTGTCATGATCAAAGTATGTATTTAAGATAGAGAAGAGGCAGCAGGGTCACTTAGGCATGGGGTGAGGACAGCCTGTGTCCAGATGGTGGCAACACTTATTCAGGGAGAAAGAGGTTAGAGGACACAGAGGATGCCCTTGGGGTAGTGGTCATGAGGAGGAAGCCATGCACACGGCATTCCACACAAGGGAGTTGTCTGGTCCAGACAGCCAGGATCTACATCACCCTGAAAGAGTCTCTTTGTAGCCTGCCATGGTTGGAATATGGTTTGTCTCTACCAAAACTCATGTTGAGTCTTAATATCTCAATGGAGAAGCGTTGGGAGGTGGGGCCTCGTGGGAGATGTTGGGTTACGGGGGTGGGTTTGGCTGTCGTCTGGGTAGTGAGGGAGATCTCACTCTATGGGGACTGGTTTAGCTACCATGGAAGGGAGGCAGCTGTCATAAAGCCACTCCTGTGATTTAGCTGTTCTACACATGTTGCACTGTGAGTTGAAGTAACACTTAGCCATCACCAGATGCAACTGATGGATCTAGGATTTTGCAGCCTCCAAACCCATGAGCCAAATAACCCTTTTTCTTTGTAAGTTACCCAGACTGGGTATTGTGTTACAGCAGGAGAAAACAGACTAAGACATAGCCTAAATAAACTCAGCACTGTGTCACATGCAGAAAGATTCCAAAGACAACTTCAAGTGTGTAGAAGAGAAACAGGAATTGTCTTCTTAAGGTTTTCTCTTGATGAGGGTACTGAAGACAGAATCACATTGCACAGCCTGCAGCAGGTCTTCCTAAAAATCCACTCTCCTTATCTTTTTCTCCAAAGTTTCTCTCTTTCAGCTCTTCTTCCCTTTCCCTCTCCCTTCCTCTCTCCAACCTCTCCAACCCTTTTCTCCCAGTTGCTGGTACTTTACAGTCCTGACGATCCCTCTGTCCCTCCTGGAGCTTCCTCCAGCTGGCAGTTCACACCCCAACACTCCCACTCTGGGCAAAAAGTTCCTTCTGGGGACCTACTGCCCTTGGAAGGTGAGGGAGGGAGGCATCACTCATGCTTATTGTTTATAACTGAATAGTTAAGTGATTAATTAATTTGATGACAACTGAATTGGCACCATTAACATGGAGGTAACCTGGGAGGGGATAGATTCACCTCCACAGGTGCATGCCATCAAGGGCTACACTGTCAGCAGCCCTCAGAGCTTTGGTGAGAACCCTAGAAGAGAGTCCCCTCCATCACCTCTCCCTGATAGATACTTGTTTGACTTGTTATTGAAGCATGATTTGTTTAGAATAAGACATTTCTTTACTATTTCCCAGGTAATTAAATATACCTAGCTCTTCCTATCCATAGGTTCTGTCTCCATGGATTCAACAAACCACAGATTGAAAATATTAATAAAATAGCATTTATACTGCAATGGACAGTTTTTCTCTTGCTATTATTCCCTAAACAATACAGTGTAACAACAAAGCATTCACATGGTATTTGTGACCCAGAGATGATTTAAATAAAGTGTAAGGAAGAGGCACAGAGGTTTTCTGAATATACTTACTATCCCCTTTTATACGAGGGACTTGAACATCCATAGGTTTTGGTATCCTCAAGGATCTTGGGCCTTGCCCCCTCTCCAGAGGGATGACTGTACATGAATCTGTGATTCTAGGCTTGAGAGGAATCCTGCTAGATTCAATGTCTCATGTGGCAGCCCTCTTGTAGAGCCAGACCACGGAGAAGTGAGCCACTCCCTCCAAAGTTAGTGCTGACATTTGGGGCTGGCTTCTCTCTCCAGCAGAGACTGTTGAGCCTGTTTGTGTCTAGCGTTGGCTGAGCTGAATTTGATATCTTTCCCCAGGGGTAAAAGAGATGAGAGCTTCCAGTCTCTAGTGATTCTAGATAAGCCCACATTCTAGATTTATATGGATGAAGTGGGTAGTTCTATCAGTGACTAAAATGAGGGATTTTGGTGTACCCAACAACTGAAGGGCAGAGCTGTATATAAAACAGACATGGTTGGGATTTCATAGCCCCAATTTGTAGGAGGCAAGAAAATAGAGTTCTTTCTGATCTATTTAACAATATGTTCTTGTTAAATTGACAGTGACAATGAACATTTAGCGCATGTTTCAGTTTATAAAGCATTTCAAGTGAATTGTTTTTTTCCCTTTGGAACCTCCTACCCTGATCCAAATAACAGGCAGAAAGTACTCTGCACTATATAAACACCTGTGTTGTATTTTACCTGAATCACGGTTGTTGCTGTTTTTATTTTTAGCAAATTATAGTGTTTCTAGACTGGACTTGGCCTGGTCACAACTCTTCATTTCCCATGAAGTCCACAAGACCCACATGGGAGGCCTAAGGTCACACAGCTAGTGTTCGATAGAACCATCTTCTGTAGTGGCGATCCTCATTTTAAACAGCACGTCCTCCTAAGAATTAATGTTTGCATAATGAGGAAAAGAAAAAACTCTGGGCAAGTCCTTTTCATCATTGTACTGCGCAGCCTCTGCAGTGTTACCGATGCCTAAGGTTGGTGATAGTTCTATCTCTTTAAAAAGAAAAAAAGGCACTGGGTAGGGGGAGCTCCTGACTGCGGCACTCCTCTGCCTGGGCCCAGTGCTGCTGGCTGCAGTGACAGTCACGCTGGAACCTGCTGATGACATAAGAGGCAAACAAAGGCACTGAGACACGATGCTGACAGCGACCAGTAAGTGTCCGAGGCTCCCACGGGACAACAGATGAGAAGGAGAAAGGAAGAAGAAGCAGAGAAAGGAGCAGGCTGTGTGGTGCGATTGGTCTCTAGGTCCCGGGAGAGTTGGTGGGGAAGCAGGTCGCTCAGTCCACGCCGCTGTTTATGGGGACTCTGGACCACTCTCGTTAGGCTCTCCACCATCTTTGTAGGATAGAGCATCTTCTTGGGCGTGCGGTGCAGCTGTGAGTAACACGTTCTCTCAGAAACACTCTGAGCTCCAGTTACTAGGGAGATCCAGTGTGTCAAGGTGCCCAGACTGCGCGCTTGGGCTTTGTCATTGTAATTTCCCCCTGGGTAGCAGCGTGGTCACCATGGGCCTATTGCAGTAATGCAGAGTGTGGGGCCGAGAGGCCAGAGATAAGCAAGTGGGATTCTCAAAGTTGTGTATTGTTTTATTTATAGTAATTGTCTTCATTTTAAATCGCATATCCATAAATGATGTATTAGTAATCTTATTAATGATACTGAAAAAATGCTTTGTTAGAAATATTTTTTCTTATTTAATTTTATTCTAATAAGTGATTATTAAATTCTTAGAAAGAGAAAGAGTACTCTAATTTTGGCAAGAAAATCCTTTCCTCCTCCTGCTTTTCCTTCCTTCTTTCCTCTCTCCTCTCCTCTTCTCTTTCTTACCTTCCTTCCTTTTTTGCCTTAAGTTAAGGTTAATATCTCAGAAAAGAGTGTTGAATTGTTTCAAATACATCAATTATTTTGGCTACAATCTTATTCTCTCTGCCTCTGAAGATGGATGAAAGTCTACTCCATTGAAGTAAAAAACAAAATTCAGGCTGGTTCCCTGGATTTCCTGCAGTTATAGTGAAGAGAGACCTTTATTCCTGCACCAAGGCAGATAAAAGTAATTGACACTTAATTCCATGTCACTTGTCACATGACAAGCATTTTCCTACACTGTGTTGTAAGCTGCACATTGATTCTTCTGTCCTATTGGTCTTACTGATGACTGACTAACCTGCTTTCTTTCCATCTCTTGTCCAGGAAGTCTAACTTTATGCTACAATGAATAATGCTCAGTTGTTTTTCTTTCTTCCTTGGCTGTCCCCTTCACCTTTTCCTTACCTTCCTTGGTCTCTTGGCTGGTCAGATGTTCTCCTCTTTTCCCCTGGATTCTTCAAGTCTTCCTCAGTGTTCCTTCCAAACAAACCAAACCAGGTTTTCCATCTTCCCATATTTTTCTCTTACCTTGCTTGGATTGTGAGAACTTTCCCAAGACTACTATAATGTTTTCTGTTCTTCACATATGAGGAGGAAGAAACAAACTCAACTCCAGCTTTAAACATCAGCGTCAGCTTACACCAGAAGCACTTTTGCTTTTTGCTGGATTTGCCCTCTGCAGCCTTGGGCTCAAATGTCAGCTCCAGCAGACTGTGACTCTGTAGCACTGGGTAGCCATTGGCCTTTTGTGGCCTTAGTCCTTCTTTGTCAGAGACAACAGCTGATGTTGCCTACATAATTGTCTTAGGACTGAAACAAAGAAATGTATGTGAAGATGCCTCTTAGGAATTTGGCACAAGGTAGACATTTAGTATTTTGACCTTTTTCCATTGGATCCATGCGTGTGTCTATCTACCCATCCATGAAACAGGCAAAAGTGGCTTCACTTATTAGTTCCTCAGAAGAATGAATTTGGAAATGAACTTTTGACTAGTGCATCTAGCACCTTTTACATAAAAGTGATGCTGTAATTTCCTTTGCCATGGGAGTGTTCTGTTGGAGGATGGAGGGCCAATGTCCTTTGTACACCTCTCCCTAAGTCTGCTGTGGTGGTGGCAGCAGACTGTGCCCCGCCATGAGTCCGAGAGAGGAGCACTGAATGTGATTGATGTAGAAGGTGCCAAATTGGAAATCAGAATGCCTCCCGTTCCCATTCTCTTCCGGGACACCTGGGTGGCAATGTGCAACTCCTATCACTATTTATTAATTTCCATTTTCTATATCTTTCTTCTTCCTCCTTGCCATCTTTTCTTTTCTTAAACTCTACACTTAGCACATTGTGTCAGATTTCAACGTCAAGTGCTAAGGATGTATGTAGCTCAGTGGTAGAGTGTTTGCCTAGCATACACAAGCACAACCCTCCCCACCAAAAAAAAAAATAGAAGATTTCAATGTCTAGGATGATGGAGCAGCTTCATCCTTACCTAAGAGGGAATATGTTGAAGTTGGAAAAAAGCCCTGGATTGGAAAAAAGAAAGTATGGCTGTACTAATGAGAAAGTCATTTAACCTATTCTCTAAAATGACAGCTGCAGGGTGGAGGATCTTTAAAATTCCTTTGAGTCCTGGGTATGTGATTCAGATAGCTCTCTTTGGGCTAGCCTCAGTTCATAGGAATTATTTGATGGAATAATAATAACCTTTGTTATCTCTTCTGATTTTCACAATAGCCTTCTGAAACACATAGCCTCATTTTTCAGATTAAAAAATGTAAGATTAAGAGAGAGTAGAAAACCAATTGTAAAAGGAGGGTTGAGTGGATGTGGGTGATGTCGAGGTTCGCGTTTCTTGCAGAATGAGTTCTCAGAATACAAACCTTGAGCTCCTGTTTCTACCACAGTACCCTTGTCAGAGCACTTAGAGTTTATGGTGACAAGAAACCCCAGATGCCTTTGTGGGTTCCAGCTTTGTAAGGAACAATCTTTGGTTCACTTATAGCAATGTTGTACCCAGAGAGACATTTGTTAAATATACTGCTCTGAATTAGTCTATGAATCTGTTCTCTAGGCCAGAAAGTGAGGGTTCAATGGTCCACACAGCCTTTTCATGTGTTCCAAAATCATAAAAGAAGTGAAAGTCACCCTAATATCATTATGGGCATTATTTGAATTTCATAGACCTCTTTATTTCCTTAATGTATTAAGTGCTGGAAAGAGGCATGGATTTGACTTTTATAAGTATCTGAAATTTGTGTGTATTTTTACATAATAGCAGATGAGCATTTCTTCTTGCTTTTAATGCGACAATGCATTTAACCATTAAAAATTCTTGTGGGGTTACAAGATAAAATACAAGAAATATTGTGTAAGATATGTATCTACCAAAAACATTCATTGCTTATGTGAAATTGAAATGTAACCAGGCACATACACTTATATTTATAATGTTTACTTGCTAAACCTGGCAACACTACACAAATAGAAATCTAATTGATGAATTAAATAATAGTTACTTTGTGCTCAAGGATATTAATTTGAAAGGTTTGAAGCCTGGCATGTAAACAAAGCATTTTTGTCAGTTTTCCATCTATTAGGTCAAACACCTCCTGGGTTTATTTACTGATGTTCCTATTAAACGTTTGTGCTGTGTCTATTTTAAGACCATCTGATTCTGACCTTCTTTATATCCAACTTACCTTTATGTCTCCCAGAGATGCCAGACTGAAAAGGTACTCAAGATGCATTAAATGAGTTGATTTGGAGTCAGCTAGCTCTTCATCACACTAATTCTGGTACTTTCTTGGAGCCTCAGTTTCCCCTTTGTTAACAATCTTCACCTCAGAGATCTGGTGACAGGTGCAAAAGTCCCTGGCATGGCCGTCCGTGACTGACCCCCAAAGTTAGGTTTTACACAAATGAAATTTGTGTAAAGTTAGGTTTTACACAAATGAAATTTGTGACAATTTCAGTCAGCTAATGCCAAATTAGGTAGATTTTAATCATATCTATTTAAAATAGTATGTTTAGCATTTTACTGAGCTAAAATATGATTGGAGTACCATTCAGTATATCCATATGCCGTATTATTTTTATGTGGGTTCTTAATCTATGAGGATAAATTGAGCTTTCCAAAATAAACCCAAGACGCCAAGGGGTTTCTTTGCTCGTGCAAGCCCCCACAGACCTCTGCCTTCCACCGTTAGCTCTGCCGTTTCACAGACTGAAATCTGAGGCTGGGTCAACTCCATTCAAGATGTGCTATAAAAGGGTATACATGTGCTTATGACCTGGAAATCGGAAGTTGTGTGATTTGTGTACAAAGTGACTAAACTGTTTACTCATCATGAAGCATCTGTATCTGTGGTCAGAACCTGACCGAGAGGGAGGGTCAAAGTCAAAGGTGAATTAGAGAGGCTTGAGGAGCTCTGCAGAGAGCGAATGAGAAAGGCTTGTATGAGAGAGAGGAGTCAGAGCACCTGGGAAATTGTCTATATGTTTTCCTTACTTAATCTGGAGTAGAGTATCTCCTTGGAAATCTTTAAGCATGCTTTTCCTTTTGGTGCTGTTTAAAATGCATCTTATATACATATTCAACCTGGAGGTGTATAACTGATCAAGGTCAAGTTACAGCCAAGGGGCCCATGACCTTTTCTACAACACATTGTGCCCTCACGGTTCCCTCAGTATTAACATCTGCAGTGCTCGCTGTGCCTTGGAGCCTGGACTATTGTTCCGTGGGGTGAGTTGATCTGACTTTCCACTTTGCAAAGATTTCATTTTAAGGCAATCCAGTCTTTGCTGATTCACGTTTTACTCTGGCATGGGAGGCTGGGGCATGCTCCCAGCGGAGTTGTGGCATGGCTGGCAGTCTGTCTGCATCTGGCTCCTCCTTTTTATGTTAGGGACTTTCAAGGGTAAGTTTCAACATATCCAGAGGATTTAGCTGGAATTTGTGTGGTCACGCATTATAAAAAGTCCTGTGTATTTTTAGTTCCCATCACCTTCAGTTGAATCCCTGTTCTCAGGAGATGGCTAAAACACCGTTTCTGGGGAACTGGGCTATTCTGCTAGGTGAAGCTGCAGAGAGGGTTATGCTTGCAGTGAGCGCCACACGAGAACAGCAGGACAGTAGCTGTCCCTGCTGTCCTGCCTGCCTGCCTTCCCGCACAACCCTCCCATACCACGCCCCATGAGAGGGGGGTTTTGCTAGTTTTCAGTGTAAGGATGTGGTTCTGAAATTTAACAAACACCTTAAAACAAACAGAAAAGACATGATATAAAGAGG